CCATTGTTACTTAGGACTGCAGTTAATCAGTCCCTTGTTGGCATATGTGCATCCTGGGCGGATTACCTCGATATAGCCTTAAATCACAAGCTTTTTAAGCAATGATGGATCGTAACTAGCAGTGGACTTCCTGACGCGCGTTTCGTCTTATTTGCGACACGTCAGCTGGATGTACTTGCATCCCAGTGTTGATGTTCACTCGGCGACTCGGACCCAGTACCGTTCACTTCAAATGACATCGTGTTATCCACTTAGCTACTGAGTCCTGATAATGCAATGATGTTTGAAGTGAACGGTACTGGGTTCGAGTCCCGGAGTGAACATCAGCTCTGGGATACAGGCACATCCGGCTGGTGAGTCCCAAATAAGACGAAATGCGCGTCGTGGATTCCTTTGCTAGCCACCATACATCTAGTAAAGTAATAAAATCCAACAATTTGATATCATATAATTATGCATCTATATTACAATGATGCATAACACTTTGTATCATAGATTCTACCTTTTAAATTACAGGTTCTTTGTCTAATGACCAACATAAAAGCCGTACTAACAGTTTCGATACAGATGAAAACCTTATCCCACCAGCTACTTCTACAATGATTTGTTCCAGTCCAACTGTATGTTTTCGTCCTACAAATGGTTTAAAAACTACAGAAGTAAGTTACAGAGAATATTTATTCAAAAACTATTCATCAATGAACGTATTACTTGACAATCCACGTATTAATAAGTATATTCTTGTCAAATTATGAATTCTTGTGATTCAATCGACAAATTAGCGATACGGTCATCTAAATATTAATACCTTAAATCCTACTGCAACCTAGATTCTAATCAAGTTCAATAATATTTATGTCAAAAGTCCTGTTCACTATTCAGCTATTTTCATTTCATAATTTATTATCAAGATTCAAATCATGTAGTAAGGCTTAATGTTGTTTTTTCAATTCTGGGAGTCTCAATTTATCATAAGTTAATCAGAAATTCATTATAATGTTTACATTTAATATGATTTTTTTTAAAAACTAGTGCAGTATTCCCTTACAATCATATTTCTTTCAGAATACAGAGTCGAATTTATCGATAAATCAGTTCCATTCTGATTGAACATACAAATGCATAAATCAACTAATTAAGTATAAATTAATGTAGATAATCATTGGTAATTAAAAATAGCAACATGATGAAAATTCTCGACCTTTCTGAATGACCAACTCAATAAACTGTACACATCAATGAACTAGTAAAGAAAAACTACCGAATCAAGCAATTATATCCTAGCTTCGGGTAAAATGAAGCAGAACAAAATAAAGTGTAATAAGATTTGTGAGTTTGATTAAATGATAATGGACACAATTTTTCAGTGGTTATTTAAAAGGTTACTTGGCATAGATATAAGAATAAATCATCAAACTCTATAAATCTAAATTCATGCATGTGGTTGAAGTATCACAGTAAGATATAGACGTTACCTGATCTTCGATAAATCCGTTTGGAGCATTACTGAAAGAATAGCATTTGTCGTTATAATTCTAAATTCAAACTTACGTGAGCTGATTGGTTTATTCATAAGTAATTAGATAAAAAATGTTCTGTTTTATTTAATATGTTTTCAATCGAGCCCCCTAAAACTCACTTGCGAATTCAGAAAAGATGAAAGTTTAAGAGTATCTCAATTTAATATTTTGTTTAATTTCAAACTAGCTGCTGGATGAAAACTGTGTTGTAAAGCCAAGCTTGAATAATATTTCGACTAGAAGCTTATATTCAATTACATTACAACGTGGTCCGAATGGTTTTGGCTTCTCCGTCCGCAGTGGATTCGACTCGAACACATCTCCGTTAATTGTATATCGAATAGCGGATAATGGACCAGCTTTTCAAGAAGGACAAATGAAAGTGAGTTGTATACCAATATGACAACTGTTAATGTCTTAAAAATTATTTACGCCACTACTCAAATAGTCACGCACCGTTGAGATGGCCGTTATGTCCGGTTTACATAAGTCTCTAAGGAACAAGAACGAAATATTTACAACTTCAAGTTGAACACACTAAGAAACTAACTAATCACTCCAGTTTTACCGAATGACCATAATTGAATTATGCTTTGGCTTTCGGTATCATATAGATTGTTGTTATCGCATATTACTTACTTACTTACTTACGCCTGTTACTCCCAATGGAGCATAAACCGCCGACCAGCATTCTCCAACCCACTCTGTCCTGGGCCTTCTTTTCTAGTTCCATCCAATTCTTGTTCATTTTTCTCATGTCTATCTCCATTTCTCGGCGTAATGTGTTCTTTGGTCTTCCTCTTTCCCTTTGACCTTGAGGATTCCATGTGAGGGCTTGTCTTGTGACGCAGTTGGGTGCTTTCCTCAATGTGTGTTCTATCCACTTCCAGCGCTTCTTCATGATTTCTTCCTCCGCTGGGATCTGGTTTGTTCTCTCCCACAGTACGTTGTTGCTAATAGTGTCCGACCAATGGATCTGAAGTATTTTGCGTAGACAATTGTTAATAAACACCTGTATTTTCTGGATGATGGCTTTCGTAGTTCTCCAGGCTTTTGCCCCATACAGTAGAACTGTCTTGACATTTGTATTGAAAATCCTGACCTTGGTGTAGGTTGACAGTTGCTTTGAGTTCCAGATGTTCTTCAGTTGTAAATATGCTGCTCTTGCTCTTCCGATCCGCGCCTTCACATCTGCATCAGATCCACCCTGTTCATCAATGATGCTGCCCAAATACATAAAGGTTTTTACATCTTCCAAATCTTCTCCGTCAATTGTGATTGGATTGGTGCATTCTGTGTTGTATCGGAGAATCCTGCTTTTCCCTTTGTGTATATTGAGACCTATTGCTGCTGCCACACTGTTCGTCTTCTCCTGCATCTGTTGTTGCGTTTGGGATAGAAGGGCCAGATCGTCTGCGAAGTCTAGATCATCCAACTGCATCTTAGATGACCATTGTATCCCGCGCTTCCCTTCAGACGTTGACGTCTTCATGATCCAGTCGATCACCAGGAGAAAGAGATATATTTATCGCTGTTATATGTACTCATGTTGACAAGTATGAAGAATAATCAGTGAAATAGCTTATATCCAATAAATTACATGGGTGACTCAATAATTATTTATCTGTTGAAGTCCATATATATATACAACAGGAAGACGTTTCTTTATGACCACTGTATGTTTCTAGTTAATAATTATATTGATGGAAATGACATATAGTCCAACACTCGACATATAATACTATCTTTATTGTTATCATCATTTAGGTCGGAGATGAAATTCTAGAGATTAATGGGATTAGTACATTTACAATGACACATCAACAAGCTGTCACATTGATTAGATCAAGTGGATCAACTCTAAGAATTCTATTGCAACGTTTCAAAGAAAATCAATATGAATATTCATTTTAAAGAAAAAACGACGATCACGACAACAGAGGAATGCTTATAGAAAATACATGAAGATATAGACATAGGTGAAAAATAAATGTTGATGAATTTTATCATTTAAGTTTTGTATAGAGAGAATATATTTCCGAAATTGTACAGTTAATCAGATTTTAAAATTTTCATTAAAACACAAATGTACAATTCTTCTTATGCTGTTTGACTTTAAATATATGTAAAGATTAGTTTAAGTGGTGAATGGGTCTTTTTTATAATCATAAATTAACATCAACTGAGGAATTATTAGAAACTAAGCAATATTAGATAATTGTTTCATCTCAGCATACATTCACAACTCCACTAAGAAGGGGATCTTTTATAACCCAATGAAATAATATTAAGAAATTGACACAAGTATTACAAGTTATTTTACCGAAATAGTTAATAACTAAAGAGGAATTTAATAAAACAAAGAATAATTGTAAATAATACGTAATATGAAATCTAGAAGAACTAGTCATACATTGATGGATAAAAATATTATAAAGTCTAAGACTTTTATGAATAGATTTCTAGATCCTTTTAAGAGAATTAAAACTCAAACAGGTTTAAACATTTTTCGTTTGATCAACATAAACAGATGGTCATCTCCATCTCATGCTAGGAGATTCGCAAGAAAGCACTAATAACTACTGCAAATGTTCCTGTAAGTACAGAACAGTTGGAATCTGACTAACAGTGCAATCTAGGACACGTACTTCATCCTATTTGCGACTAGTCGGCTGGATGTAGCTGCAAATCAAAATTGACTGATGTTCACTTCGTGACTCGTATCTGGTACTTTTCACTTTAAATGCCCATGTTATCCACTTAGTTACTGATTCCAAATAACATCTCACAAACAGACTATATAATATTCTCAGATTTTAGCCACCATAAAGATGGTTCACAGTTAGAGGTATAGCTTATCCTTTAACCTACTTCAATTTAAACAGGTAATTTATACTATTAGCGCTAAAATTAAAGCAAATATAACTCAAGACTGAGTAAACAAACATGTAGGTGGCTGGTTACATCAATTGAAAACATAATTTCAAGAAACTAAATCAATAAGAACATTGCTTAGAACCACTAAATCCTTGGGTGATATAATATACATGATTTTAGAAAGTGTATTATTTTATTCCTTATTCTTGTACACAAATAGTACAGTGTAGGCCTTTTGGTAACAAATAACATATCTAAACAATTGTTGACCTAATTTCGCATGTATTTTGCAAAACATAACATAATATACCTTTAACGATGCATAATAAAACTTAGTTAATTGATACGAATGACTATTAAACAATTAACACAATAGAAATTCATTAAATTACATATAACGCTAAAAATCCCCCACCCCAACACCCCTCCATTCAATAATATTACGACTTAAGCGTTGCTTTATGATCAATAAATTTTACCAACCAAACATAAGATACATGTACACAATTCATTATTCTACATTTACAAATACATAACCTCAATTTTGTTCTATGATGATTATTTTTCTTAAACTTAACTATAACTTAATTTGAATACAAGTAGTTTTTGTCATTAAAAAAAAATTTATTCTCCTTTAACACATACAAAAAGAGAAAATGATACACATTGTAAAATAAGTAAATAAAAAATACAGAGTAGACGAATGAGAAGAGGGAGGGAATAATTGAAACACAAACCTAGAAGTGTTTGCATTAAAATATATCCACTAGAAATGGTACAGCTATAACCGCCGCCACCACCACAACAACAACAATGATAAAAAGCAAACGAATAAATTTATTATTTTCATACAAAAGAACGATTCATTAAAAAATCCTAAGCAGAAAAAAAAGAAACTCTTTTCTCTTTATTCCGCCATCTCTCACTATTCATTGCCACAGTTACAATTTCCTCGTGGTTTTCTAAGAGAACAGAAGAAATACGCTGGGAGGGAGAAAACACAACAAAATAACAAATACTAGAGACGCAAAACAATTTTCACACTATAAACTGTACATAATAGAATTATAATTAATGATAACAGTACTAGTTAAAAAGCATAATAATCTTATAAACTGAAAAACATACATCTGATTTGTTTATGATAAAAAAGATTTTTTTACTTCTGAAAGATGTTAATGATGTGATAGTAAGGTTACAGAGATAAGATGGAATGAGTCACAAATAATTAAGTAGAGTGAGTGAGTGAATGAGTGAGCAGAGGAATACAAAGGCAAAGTGGTGAAAACTGAGTTTAAACTTTAAAAAAAAGTTAAGGAGTTAACGAAGTAAAGATGAAAAATTTGCTGAGTATTTTTCTTTTAATATACATTCATTATTTTTAAAAATAATCCTATTCAGTAGTATATCTAACACAGAAAATATGTATTTTTTTTTTTGAAAAATAAGGTTAAATAAAAATTTTAATTAAAAAAGCCTAGAAACAGTACACACAAAAATACATGAATGAATGCATAAATAAGTACTAATTACAAATATTCATATCGTCTTGATGCATTATCATTCGACTGATCATTGTAATGTATCTCATTACTAATCATCATCATGTTATTATTACGTAATAATAGAGAAAAAGTTTTGAAAGAGAAAGAATTAAGAAGAGATTAATATACACATTATTGTTATTACACAAATTTACAGATAGTTGACTACTTACAAAAACGATAACTATGTCTGATAAAATACTAATAATGTTTTTAAAAAAAGAAAAAGGAAAGAAGAGAAAATGAAGACATTCAACTATAACAATCATGTAATATAAATATAAATATATTTATGAAGTAGAAGTAGATAATTTTTTACTTGGACTAATATTTTGTTGTTCTTGAAAAAGCCATACTTCATGAACAGCTTTTTTATGTTTATCTAAACGTGATTCTGAAGCAAGTAACATTCCACATATATGACAACCATAACCTAAATTAGGCACTGATAATACAGTAGGCCAATACTGACTACGATTTGTATGATGATGATGATGATGATGATTAGTATTAGTAGTAGTAGTATTTGTTGATTTTAATGTTAGTAAATGTTTTAATAATTTTTCAGTTGATTCAAATAATGGTGAATCATGTGAACAGCCTGGACAAGCGATAGATTGTGATAATAAGTTATTAGATAATTCATTTTTATGAATGAATGATTTATTATTATGATGAGACATTAAAGTTTGATGAACTTTTAAGCCAGTTCCAGATCGAAATTCTCGATTGCACTGTTCACAAGTTACAGAAGTTTTAACTTGTGAAATATTGTTCGTCGATAAAATAGATTTTTGTTTATTGGATCGACTTGGATGAGATGAACATCGTGCACGATGTATTTGAAGGTAACGCCAACACTTAAATCCAGAACGATTACACCAAGAACAAGTAAATAATGATGACGATTCATTGATTTTTAAACTACAATCAGATGCTGGGACAGTTGTTGCATTTGAGATGATAGATCTGACATCGTCAATTAAATTATCACTTAAAGATTGTGTAGACACCGATGATCGACGACTACTATAGGGTAGACAAAAATGGTTAACAGAAAATTGTATTGATCATTTCAAATTTTACAAAATTGACCTCTGATTACCGTTAAAAAAAAAACATTTTAATCATCTTGCTTTATTCACATTATAATCTGTTGGTTTAACAAAACTTTATATTTGCACATACAATCTTTTTATTGTTGTCGCTCGTATTATGCAAACTAGTATTATAATCTCTTTAATGCATCATCACGTTTATTCCTTGTTCATATGACCTCATAGAACTAATACCTCAACAAAAAATATATATAAGCTTACCATTTAGATATTTCTTCTTCGATACGTGGATGACGAAGTGAATATGGAGAAACTGATCTATTTTTTCTTCTATTTAACTTTGATATAATAGATGGAGTTTCTATATTCCGGATACTTTGATTAGATTGTAATGATAGTCTGCGACTTCGTAAACCAAGAGAATAAGTCTTTCCAGTTAGGATAGATGAATTATTGGATGATGAATGAGTTTCAGATATTTGTTTCATCTGTATATTTTTTTAATATAAAAATAAAAGATGTAGATGAATTAATGAATATATTTGATGATATAGTTACAAGAAACCGGTGACTTGTTAAGTAACACTTCCAAAATAAATCGAGGAACGAAGTTATGTTCAATGGAAATAGTTCTTTATTTCATGTAGTTGGAAAGTAAAATACAAAAATCACACTACCTATGATAGTTTACAATTAGAAAAAGAATTTCAAATTCCACTGATAGGCAACAATTTTGGACGATTTTGTGTGATATATTATAACAATGGCTTTATTTAATGCAAAAGATTTAGCTACAACAAAGAATTCTCAGAGCAAAACACTCAAGGTTGTAATGAATACCACCCGCCCTCTACTGGTAACCATATACTTGTGAATATTCAAATGAACAGATCAAAAACCTTTTAACTCCCCATCAAAATCTTTCATCATACAATATATTTAATGTATAAACTACAATGTGGTAGTCTGTAGTCTCTTTAAAGAACAAACAACAAGGTAAAAATACTAACTCTACAATAGGATTGCAGAATTTTCAGAAGAATATGTGAGTACATTCGATGGAACCGAATGGAAAACATTGTTTAAGATTAGCCGAATCTTTACTAAAGTAAAGAATAACATATTATAATAGCAAAACGAACATGTGTATGAACAGGATACCGCTTATTTCAATAATTTGTGCTAGTAATCGCACTACTGTAAGTTCAAAAAATAAGGAAAGCAAGATAATTGAACAATTAACTACAAAAAAGCTAAGCTATCACAAATTATTTTCATCGATACACATCACAAGATTCAGCAAATAAATTAACACAATAATATCAGTATATAGAAAAAACGAAATAACTAAGTGAAAGGAAACATCAATCAAAAAGTAAAAAGAAGCTAAAATACATAAATCAAGTAAATCTCTTGACGGACAATCTTTGAAATCTGAGGCTTGTATCAGTTCACCCTCAGAATGACATATGTCATGATCAAACTTCAAAAGCTCTTGATTAGGATGACTAGTGGATACATTACTTTGACGAATTTCAGATAACTCGGTAGTGATTTAGTCTGCCGAACAACACCTTTCAACATAACATAAATAAATGTACAAAATTTAGAAGACTTGAGACAATATATAAAACGAAAGAAAAGGTACAGTAAATAAAAAACAAGTATCCTTATACGTAAATTTGACTGAAGCCTAGTCAAAAAACATAGCAAAAGATTGCGAATAGAATTTTTGTAACCAACAAATACTGAAAAAACGACATAATATTTACATGTTTGTTTAAATGGACGATCATCAAAATTCACAACAATAAATTAAATCATATAGTCAACTAAATATGAAACATTCAAACAATAATAACAACTACCTGCCCGATATTCTCATTCTCAACAACTTTGGAATCCAACGTCACCGACTCTGAACATTCTTTCCATGTCAAATTCGATATCATCTCATTATCCATGCATCCACCACCATTCAAACACTCCCCTGATTTCTTTATACCAGAGTTATAATTCTCCACAGAGTCTCTTCTCTTACGAGTCCTAATCAGATCCACCTAAAAACATTCAACAATAAAAAAATTTTACCCTTACAAACAATTTAATCACGAACATATTTACAAAATACTCATGTTGAACATTCCAAAACACAAAACTCTTCGTCACTTACTACTTCCTCTCCTCCAAACTCCCTCCCTCACACACTCTCCCATACACTCACCACGATCAAACAACAATGCTACTACAACCATTTCATGATCATCACCGAACATGAACAACATCAAACTCATTCAATCTAACCACTCCTCACCTACCTACCTACTTACCTTGTGGTTCGATTGACGTGCATGACGTAAAAGTGACGTTCTATGGCGATAACTCAATGAACACATGTTACATTTGAAGGGAGTAGCAGTTAAATTTTCATTCGAAACATCATGTTCACTCGATGTTCCTGTTGGTGTCGTCGTCGTCATTGTTGTTGTTGCTGTTGTTGTTGGTGGTGGTGGTGGTGGTGTTGTTCCTTCTGATGTCTCCAGTCCACTCGTCGATGGAGACATCCGATTCTTCTGTTCATCCTACACAAGTGAGGGATAGTTAGAACGGAATAACAGCCGTCATTACAAAAAAACTTTACACACTTTTCATACTGTATCTATTTCCCTAATAAACAAACAAACACACACAAATTCAAAATAAGTACTTACTTCAGTGGGGTTGTCCTGATGACATCCAGTCGAAAACAGATGTTCATCGGTACAATCATGTTGTGAGTCTTCTGAATTTACTAAAGCAGTCATATTCTTGTCTAACGTAGCAAGACCACGAAAATTCAGTGATTTATCACCTGAATTCATTGCAATTTCATTATTGTCTGTATCGCCATTTGAATGTCGGTGATCAACCTGAATATGTGTTGAATAAATTGTAAAAATTAAAATAAATTAAATTATCACAACTACAGATGATTAGTTTAGAAGTACGGAACATTTAGTGCCACATAACGGCGACAAATGTTCAACACCGTATTTGACTATTTTATTGATAAGAAGAAACATAACCAGTAGATCTAGGATGTAAGTTAATTACGCTAGCCTGGAAGAATAAAAAAGATGAAACTGAATTTTAAAAAATAAACTCACCACTGATTATTACTATGTTTTTACAAAATTTCAATATAAGAGTGGAGTTCAAAATCAATAATTTTGGAATATTGGAAAATGGTCATCATTGAAAAAGGGGGGTATTTGACATTGTTTATACGCAGAACAACCGTTCATTACTAGGCGTTTAATAAACATAGCGGAAACCAAGAGCATTTGACAAAAGCTAACGGTGTCTATTTGTTTATTTATGATGTAGTGAACGAGAACTCAGGTGTGGAAGACCAATTTATTGTTTAATACAAAATTACAGAGTACGTTCGAAAAATATGAAAACCATACATTAAATACATAATTTTCACATCTTTCATCAGTTGTCGTTTACATACTTCCTGATTCTTCCAGTTCTCTTGTTATTACAATTAATTTCTATTTCCCTTTCTGTTCATCTCAACTGGATCTTCTCAATCTTTTGTTGGCATGCATTCCACTTCCGATTGGTGCTACATACTAGTTATATCAGTCAATATAAGTAGCATACACCACAATGAAAGAATGCTTTTTGTAAGTAAAAAAGAATAAATCCATCACACAAAGTGAAGTGACAGTGCATCGCAGAAAACCAAAGTGGGGTCATATGAGAATGAAGAGACCAAGAATTAAAGTGTATAGATCAACGAAAGATATAATTACAGTTTACTGTTTATGATAAACTCAAAAAGAGTAACGTCACATGGAGTGGTACACATTATTGCTGTGAGTCATGTCTCACAAATCCCCAAATCACTTACTTCGAATCCATGTTAAAAGATGTGTTACATCAATTATGCTTAATCTATTACGTCTATCATTAATTCATTATCATTATAATGTTGGCTAACTTTCTGTTTTCTTTAACAAGTGTAAGCTCCAGTACATAAAATTCCATATAGAAACCACAAGGACATGTATAATACGTGTTCACATCAGGAAAAATAGTGTTTATAAATGGTGTCACTGAATGAACGATGACTTCCGTTAAGAATAAACTCATGTTATGAAAATAGAGAAAATGATGAAATGTATGTAATAAAAAAGTAAGCCAGCTTAAATGCCCACTTACAAATCAACTTAACCTAATGGAGATTCTTGAAACTTCATGAACTTCGTGAACAGCATCCACCAGCTCTACAACTAACAATATGGTTAACAGTATTGGTTAATTGACATTTGACTTATTTGCAAACATCATCACGACGGTGTTGTAGTTATGAAGACCAGTTTGAAACTGATTTCAACAACCAAAAAAGGTTGGATTTCTGCTTTACTTTCATGTGAACTGGACCCAGGATAGCTCAACAAGTACAATAAACTCATAATGAAACCCATACAATTTCTACTTCTTGTACCCACACAACTATCAGTCAGTCAGTCAGTAACAACGTAGAACTTCGTACGTACGTAAATCAGTTCGAGTTGCCACACCACATTAGCACAGAGATTCAATGATCGACTCAAATTCCATAGTGATAGAGGTAATAAGAGTATAAGCGGTAATCGGTAAAATTAGTGTTTGGAGATGTTATTTAAAGAGTATAATACAGTGAAATAAATTTGGGAAGGGAAAAAAAGAGACAAGGAGGGATAAGATCAAAATTTGGGAGAACACAAAGGGTGTATGCACCTGCACCATTGCAAACGATTTTGAGCCATGTCATTCAGGGTCTCTAAACATCGGTTGCTATCATCTCGCGGTCCCCAACCAGGTAGTCTACACCTACCAACATGACTCAGTCCACTTGTCAGTGACTTCATGAACTTGTGCCATGTTTTGGTCTGGCCGCCCCTAGCTTTCTTCCAACCTACTCCTATACCACTGAACATCGCACGCCGAGGCAGTCGGTCGTTGGGCATACGTAACACGTGTCCCAGCCATCCCAACTAATGAAGTTTCACTACTTCATCAATTGATTTGCCATCCTTACCTAGTACCCGTTTCCTAACAACTGCATTACTTACTCGATAGTCCCAGGATATACGAGCAATATTTCGAAGACACCTATGATCAAATACTAGTAACCTACGAATATCCTCTACTCTTGCCGGCCATGTTTCACTGCCATAAAGTAGGACGGAACGAACTGCTGTGCAGTAAACCCGTCCTTTCACAATTGATTGATCACTGGGTGGTGATCAATGTCATGCTTGTCTAGTCCTTATTAGTGCAGATCGAATGCTATCGATCATGTTGCAATGTGGCCACCAGTCTAGGTGACTCAACACTGCGGGCACTATATATTGAGATTTAGATGGTGGTTGGAGGTAGTCAACAGGAAACCCGTCCTTTGGTTGATAGACGGATATCTCGCCTACGCCATAAATGACGCAAGTTGGTAAAAGCTAGTCGAGCCTTCTGTATCCGTGCTGAGATTTCGTCACACACCAGACCACAAGGGCTGATGAGACTTCCAAGATAAGTAAAGCGATCGACAAGCTCAATTACTTCACTCCCTATCATTAGTTCGGGTGTCAATGCAACACAATCCTGAAGCAACATTTTGCATTTCGAGGGGGAGAATCGCATCCCGAACATGCTTGCATTGTTGCTTAGAGTGGTCATAAGACTGCATTTTGTCAGCGTCTTCACCAAATAGAAATATGTCATCAGCATATTCTAAGTCAACAAGTGAACCTCCCGGTAGAAGTTCAACCCCTGGAAATTTAGACGAGGAAAGTGTTATCTCTAAAAGTACGTCGACGACAAAGTTGAACAAAAATGGAGAGAGTGGACAGCCCTGACGAACACCACTTGAGGTAATCAATTCTGATGACAGTTCGCCATAAGCTCTCACTCTACCAGTTGTGTTCGAGTAGAGAGCCTTTACAAGGTTAATGTACTTCTTTGGTACTCCTTTCAGTGACAAACACTGCCATAGAACCTTACGATCGACAGAGTCGAATGCTGCTTTAAGGTCGAGAAATACTACGATTCGCGGGCGTCTGAACGTGTGTGTGTGTTCTAGAACCTGACGTAGTGTGAATATGTGGTCTATACAACCACGTCCAGGTCGAAAACCAGCCTGATTTTCTCTAGTCTGCTCTTCACGAGCTTTAGTTGGGCGTCGAAGTATTATTGAAGCTAATATTTTAGACACTATATTAGTCAAACTGATTCCTCTGTGATTGTCACAAGAGGACTTTTGTCCTTTTTATAGACTGGCACAATCAGTGATTGAGACCAGTCAGATAGGATTACGTCCAGTTCCCAAATTCTACCTAAGACCTCAGTCAATCTCACTGCTAATACTGGGCCGCCATCCTTAAAAATCTCACTGGTAAACCTATCAGGGCCTACTGCTTTCCCACGCTTCAAATTTCCGATAGCTTTTTCAACTTCGTAAAGAGTCGGAGGACCTACATTAACTTGCCATTCAGGTTGACTGGAGATCGTGGGAAACCGAAGTGTGGCTGAAGGCCAGTTGAACTGATCCCTAAAGTGTTCTGTCCATCGATCCAATCTCCTGGATTGAGAATGTATAATATGTCCATCTTTCTCTGAGAGTGTTTCCCTAACAGTCGGTTTCCTAATGCCGGTTTCCTTAACAAGTCTGAACAATTGACTGCTATTACCTATTGCCTCTGTCTTTTCCATCTCTCTTGCTTTCGCTACCCACCACTGTTCACGATCATTGCGTAGACTTCTTGTCAGCTTGCGCTTAAGCTGACTCCGCTCTTCACTATGTTCAGAGTCAGATGGAATGAGTTTCCGAGCACCTATCAATGCGATAGATGCTGCTGAGATCCAGTGTTGCCCCCTACCCTTAGAGGTTACCGTACTAGCAGACATCACTGCTGTTTCCACAGCTTTTCGGATATCATTACATGCTGCCTCGGGGTGGGCATCATATACACATAGCTGCCTAACTGTTTTCCTAGTTGTTCCTGAAATATACTCTTAGCTTGACTATCATTAAGTAGGCCCCTAGGAGGTTTCCTTGCAGCGTCTTTCCTACGTCCAGTAAGACGCAGACAGATACGCGCTCGCACTAGAGCATGATCTGAATCTAAGCATGTGCTCCAGAATGAGCGACAGTCTTCTATCGAGCCCCTCCATCGGTGGCTGATAGCGATGTGATCTATTTGGGTCCAACGTTGGGACGAATTAGGGGGTCGCCATGTTAAAAGATGTCTTTCCTTATGGTTAAAGTTAGTATTCACAAGAAAAAGGCGGTTATCTGAGCATAGCTGAAACAGACGGTCGCCATTATCTGTTCTTTGAGCCAAGATGCTATAAGATCCACCCAGATGTCTTTCCCTATCGCCTAGTTTACCTACTTGAGCATTAAAGTCACCAGCCACTATTACTACATCAGAGCGCCTAGCTTTTCTGAGGTCGGGAAGCTTTCTTCAAAATTCATCTTTTGCATCGTCTGAGCTGCAGTCAGTGGGAGAGTATGCAGAGACGACGAGTGTGCCTATATTTCCGAGACCTTATTGTTCCGTTTAGTCGGACAGCGCACAAACGACTGTCTACTGGGATCCACTCTAAGAAAGCTAGTTCTGCCCTAGGACTCAATGCTATACCTACGCCGGCGAGGCCACGGGAAGCAGAATCAGGGCTTCCAGATACACGAAGTGTGAATCGAGTCGGTTCTTTATTTTGGCATGGTGAGGTCAAATGAATGACGCTACTTGGGTCCTGTATGCGCGTTTCGGAGACGCAGCACACATCGATGCCGCGGGATTCTAAAGTCCTAGCTAAGGAAGCCTGCTGTCCTATTTGGCACAGTGTTCGGACGTTAAAAGCTCCTACGTGTAGTTTA